GAAAATTTCTATAGCTGAGACACCTTTGTCCACAAATATTTCCTCACCATCAGATGCTGTCGTGTCAGTTGGCCGCATTCCTTCTGCAGCAAAGTCCAGTCCTACTTCTCTTATAAGCACCACTGGTCAGTCCCAGCCTTGCTGCGGTCAAGAGACTGGTAGCAAGGTATCAACTGTTTCCAAGTTGCAAGTAGGTTCCTCTTATTCGCAAATGCACAGAAATACTGTTCCTGCTTCACAGTCGCCATCTTCTGGTCAGATTGGCAAGACTGTTTCCACATTCAACGCTCTTCTACCTGGTGACCATAACGACACATTGCGCTACGTACAATCAGTGATTGAGCGCGTCAAGGCTGAAAGTGTGGAGGAGACACAGCAGCATCATCAACACCATCACCATCAACAGCATCAGCAACAACATTCACATATATTACCATCTGCCAACACTTCTTCAGGCGTGTCCTGCAGCAGATCAACTTCTCAATCTTCAGGCACTTCTTCCGTTCGAGCAGGTGTTGAACGGACTACGGTTGGCTACAATTTGTCGAGCAAGACGACTGGAAAGTTGGCCTCTCGTTCTCCCTTTTGTATGGTTAACACCGCCACAACCACAAGCAGTAGCAATACTAACATCAACATCAACACACCCATCGCCACGGTTTCAAATCTCTCTTCCGTCAGTCTTGTCGGCAGCAGTGTTCCAGGCTCATCTACCTTGCTTACGCTTCCTTGCATTCCCGGCGTAAATGCTTGTGCTCCACTCAACCAGCAGCAGCATAATTGCAATTCGTTTTTATCCGCCTCGGCTTCTGGCTCAATCTCTGCATCTGGGCATAGCTCTGATCCTGGTTCTCTAATTCCTAGCTCAGTCAGTAAAACCGCTCCTGGACAATGCACTATTAGCGGTAAAAATTCTGCTATCGGCTCATCTGTTACGGTTTCTCACACATCGATAATTGTTCAGCCGGCGTCTATATCCAGTACACGATCATCTGCAGAATCTCCGTTAAATGGACCCCTAGCTCCTGTGACCATTGCCCAGACTTCCACTAGTCGCCGACGACGACGATCGGAAATAGCAAAAACCGGTTCTTTAGTCTGCGCCCAACAGAGTGGGCCGGTTCACCAAATCCCCTCGATCTCTAATGGGTCTGATGACTACTCATCTGTAGAACAAACTTTGAGGGATAAACAGATATCTCCTTTGCAGCCTTCATCGTCCACTTCGGCTATTTCTTTGGACGGATCAGCTAATGAGATGTCCCGAGGCGCAATCACTCGAGCCAAGCGACTCCAATTACCTACTGTTTGTAGCCACGGTATTTCAATCTCTGGGCAGCCTAGTATTTCTTCAAGTCCTGGACTGACTGCAGGTTGCTTACCATCCTCATCTGGTCGATTAGATTTGCCTTCGGTGGCAGATCCATACGAGCCCAACTTTGACGATGATCTTGAGGTCAATACATGCCTGGAGACACTGCATCATCACGAAAAATCGGCCCAGTCCTGCTCTGGTACATCAGCGGCCCAGGCTAGTAATACAAGTCCCACTCTAGCTGGTGGTGTCAACACTCTCGCTCCCTCAATCAGCTCAACAGCTTCTACGGCTCTCATGACCACGGTTCCTCCAACAAACCAGCACTTTTCATCGTTTGTCAGCAGCCCCATCACATCCGCTTTGCCCCGGCTTTCAGATACGACGTCAGACATTCAGCTTGGTATTTCAGGCCTGGCTACTTCCTCTGATAGACCTAATGATGGTAACAGTTGTCTTACCAGTAATAGTTCTGCAGTTACAAATGTTCGCTTTCCAGTGACATTGAATATTTCAGCTTCTCGCGGCCCGATCGGAACGACTTGCGTTGATCTTACTGATCCAAAATTCGACCTGCCAGATTATTCAGCCTCTGACACTTGTCTATTTGCTAACTCCTCCACATCATCAGCGGCCTCTTTCACACCCTCGGTAACAGCCTCCAACGGAACAATTTCGTTGATAACTCAGAATGGCGATGCGATTTCAGTTCTTCCAAGCCACCACTCACCCACTCCCACCGTTTGCACGCCTTCAGTACCAGCAATGCCGATTTCCTCAGTAAATACCTCTTTTGCCTCGCCACTCATGGCTAAAATTTCAACACTCACTCCTAAAGCTTTTACGTCTGGCGGCCAAACTCATACTTCCACACCACTTATTCTCCCTTTCGGTACTCTTGAGTCGAATACTTCTGGTAGTCCGTGCGGTAATAGACGGGCTGATGTTGATCTCTGTAGCGTAACGACGACGACGACCTCTACGATTATACCAATTTCTAACAATAACAGTACCACTGATTCACTTGCAGCAACCAATGCTGGTAGACCTCTACTCACTTCCTCGAATGTGTCTGCGCACACTGCCAGCATAGCTACCACTAAGCCCACGGCATGTGTTGACACCGTGGACGAGGTTATTCGTGATGTGTGCGCTGGCCAGTTCGATATGAAGTCATATCTAGACAACTGGCGAGGACTATCTCCAGCACCACAACCACTTATCTCCACGACCTCAGTAGCGTCCACTGTTCCGTCAGTCTCTGAGAAACTTGGTATTCAAACAACTTCTGTTGCATCTTCCGCGTGCTCTCTCACTGGAGCTTCAATTCCAACGATGTCTATTGCCTGTAGTGTTGCCAGTAGGGCCATACCAACTTCACTTAGTCGGGTCTCTAGTCCCGAGCCTTCCACGTTATATACTCCCTCTCCTTCTTTGATAGGAAATGTAACCTGCCCGAGTAAATCAACAGGTCTGCAGAACAGAACACCATTACAGCCACAAAATTTGCTTAAGCAGCAAGTCTCTTCTCCTTTGGCTTCAGTTCTCCCTGGTTCTACTTCCATTATCTCATCGGCTGGCAATACTGTTGTACCTTCTGGTTGTTTGGGTTCTGTGTCTTCGGCATCCTTGATGCTCGGCCCAGGTCTTTCCTCAAAAGCGCCAAATAATTCGACATCCTGTATTCTGACTGCCTCAGCAAATGGTGTCAACCTTCCGGCTGCTGCTGCTCGCCTCTGTCCACCTGTTGGTCCTACTGAACAGCTGGTCGCCGTCGCGACCATCCCCTCATCAGCTGGTGCGAATGTCGGTGCTATGGCTGGGACAAGTGCTAATGGTTTGGGTCCTGCTGGTGGCGTTACAGCGACGTTGACTGGCTCATCATCGAGTGGCACCTCCGGTCTTAGCACCGGTAACAATCTGATTGCCACCCTACTCTCCGCGTTGCAGCTGATACCTGGCAGCCAAGTGACTACGACAGTAACTGATGCAGCTGGACTTGTTGGACAGACTCTTGGTGGCGGCCCGACGACTATATCTGCGACTACGATCACACTGCCCGTCAGCGCTGCCGGCAAAGCAGCAGCCAGTATCAAGGTACCTACATTTTTTAGCTTCGCTTCTGTGCATCTTATATTTTTAGTCGACACCCGCTGTCTTATTAGAATCGTTGGGAAAGTGCAATACGGCCTCCAGATTTCTGTCGGTTTTTTTATCCGGCTTCAAATTTCTTGTTTTCCAACAAATCTTTTTCAGTTATTTCCATGTATTTTTACAATCTTCTATATTATAGATTGTGATAAATCCATGTTTTTGAAGAACTATTGAATATGATGTCTTTTTAATGCGAAAACGGCAATTTTGTTATTCAAGGTCACTTTGGCAGGTCACGTTACAATCAAGCTTTGGTCTATTTCCGTTTTTTATTGATATTTGATCCACTCACGATGAATTAAAGAGGATTTTGTTGTGCTATTTAACCCAAAAATAAGGTCTAACTCAAGTTGGAATTCTGTTCCGAATTCGCTTCCAATCTTCGCCCTCTAGTTGAACCGAACAAGGGACTGAGGTTTCTAACGGTATAACTTTACCCCACAGAGCCCTGTTTTAAGGGCTTAATACATCTAGACTAGTTTAAGATTACAATATTGATGAGGCCTTTGAAGTTATTAGCAAAGAGCCACTAGTATTTTATTACCGTTATAAAATAAGTACGTGAAGCGAGTTTTTTTATTTAACTTCCTTCAATGTCATGCCCAAAACGCCATTCAACAAATGTTATTAAGACTTTCTAACTTCATCTTGCGTTATTAGTCCCAGAATCGCCAGAGCACAAATGGTTTTTTTTCGTTTGTAAGTAGATGAAGGGCTGGTAATAGAATTTCCACTGAATTTAACATAGCTTTTCCAAAAGTTGTTCTCATCCAGGGTGGACTGCA